GTACCACAGCAGCGGCGACTGCTTCAGCCCGTACAGGCTCTTCAGCAGCTTGCACACCCAGCCGGTCCCATCGTTGAAGAGGTCCGGCTGGTACATGTAAAGCACCCGGTCGAGCATGCTCTGCAGGAAGGCGTTCTTCATGTCGAGTTGCATCACGTCGAGGTTGAGGACGGCGACGATGCTGAGGAGGATCCTCAGCGTGACGTAGTTGCTCACCGGCGCGTACGTCTCATCGTAGTCGGCGCCCTACACCTGTGTGAAGCCCTTCATGACCAGCCTCGCCTTCTCGCGCTCGACGGTGTCGTCAATGCGGTACTTCGTCGTCAGCACCCACCGGTTTTTCATGATGTTCACCCCAGGTGGGCGTGCGACCAGCTCCCAAGTTCCCATGCTGATGAGGCTGCGAATCTCTTCCTCCATGGCGGCTTTCACCGCCTTGCCCTTCCAGCTTGCCAACGCTTCCTTCACTGCATCGTGGAGATCTCCCAGCGGTGCTCGGGGTCGGCGTGCATGTCGGGGTCAAGCTCCGGTAGTGCCTCATCCTCCTCGGCGTCGTCGTACAGCAAGTCGTCGTCGACCTCGTCGTACGCCGTGGTGAAGGCAGCCGGTACATAGAAGTCAGGCGGCCTCCGAAGTCGGCATGTACGCCGTGGTCCAGGCTGAGCCTCCTCGGCGTCCCCTCCATCATCACCGGCGTTACTGCCCTCAGCGTCCTGCTGCACCTCAGTCGGCGTCCCAGCCGACTTCACCCCTACGGTCGGCTCCCCTGCCGACTGCCCGGTCGCCGACTACTCCTTGGTCGGCGTCGCAGCTGCCTGCTCCCCTGTCAGCTGCTGCCCTGCTGGTGTCTCCTTCGCCGGCTTCACCAAGGTCGGCTGCACCTCCTCTGCCTGCTGCTCCTTGTCGGCGTCGACTTGACTCCCATGTCGACTTGCTTGGCGTCACGGCGGCTGCCGGCAATGCTCTTGGTCGGCGCCACAGGCGACGCCCCACTTCTCCCCTCATCGCCGGAGGCCGACACCGGAGTCAGCCCACGCAGGTCGGCCAGGAGGGGAGGGGCAGGGGGTGCAGGGGGAGAGGAAGAAGGACGGACGACCTCGGCATCCTCATCAGCAAGCTCACCGACCTCGGCGAGCAAAGGCAGAGTCGCCGCCGAGGTGTTCGTCGGCGGGGTGGTCAGCGTCCGTCCCGACGCCGGCCCGTGCTCCGACTTCCACACCTCCAATGAAATGTGCTCGTAGAACACTACGTCCGACGTGGTGACCACCCGGTTGTCGACGATGTCGAGGAGCTCCCAGCCCTTGCTCTCCTCCAACACGCCGAGATGGAGACCCCACTGAGCCTTCGGCTTCAGCTTCCCACCACGCTACTGCTCGGGGACGAGGAACTGCGCCATGCAGCCCCACACGCGTGCCAGCGACAAGTCGGGCTTCTTCGCGGTGAGCAGCTGGTACGGCGTTGTCCCCGGCGACAGTGTCGACCTCTCCAGGCAGTTGCGGACCCAGACGGCCTGCCCCAGAGCGAGGCGCCACTAGTGGTGCTGCACGCTCATGTGCAGCAACATCGTCCGCACCGACTCCATCACCGTCCGCATCTCCCGCTCCGCCATGTCGTTCTGCTGCGGGGTGTACGGGCAGGTCAGGTCGTGGAGGATCCCCTTGCCGTTCACAAAGTCGGTGAACTGCTTCCCGAGGAACTCCCCTCCCCGGTCAGAGCGCAGCATCAACACCGACTTCTTCGTCTGCCGCTCAGCCACCGCCAGCCACTGCACGAACTCCTACAACGCATCCGACTTCTTGGCGACCGGCCTCACCCACACGTAGCGGGTCTTGCGGTCCTTCAGCAGCAAGAAATACAGGCTGCCGTCTTTGGCAGCCACGCGGAATGGCCCGCACAGGTCGATGTGCACGACGGCCAGCACGTCCGTTGGAGCCTTGGTCGGGGAAGGTGTGTCGTGTCAGCTTTCTGCCGACGCACGAGACACACGGTGAGTCGGCGCCCGACGCCGACTTGAGGTCCAGCCTAGCGGCGACCCCGTGCTTCGCCGAGCTCCGAATGGTGTCCATGCCGACGTGTGCAAGCCTCGCATGCAGCCTGTCCGGCGTCGGCTTCATCGCTGAAAAGATCGCCCGCAGGGCTACCACGTCCTCGGTGGGCTTTTTCTGCTTGGCCTAGGCATGGGCATTTGGCCCGGACGGGTCGGGTTACCCGACCCGACCCGCCCTTTTGGGCGGGTCGGGTCAGGAATGCTGAGAATGTCGACCCGCCCGGGTCGGGTCGGGTATACCCGGACGGGTCGGGTCGACACGTGACCCGTCACTGTGATTTAGGGACGGGTTTCAGCGACCCGCCGGGTCGGGTTGACCCGTCCCGTCCGGGTCGCGTACCCAGTCAAATGACTGGGATACCGGACCCGTTCTCTGATTAGGGTACAGTTTGGAAAGGGGGATCAGTTGGTTTTGATGTTTTGTGTTCCTCGACATTTAGATCTAGTCTCTAGACCAGATCAAGCTAGTAACTCTGCACCGCGCCCAGCATTTCGCAGCGTCGCGCAACCAGGGGCGCAGCAGCGTGGTCGCAGCCACGCATTAGCGCGATCGCGGCTCTGCATTAGCGCAGCAACATTGCGCCACGCATTGGCGCGATCGCATCCCCGCAATAGCGCGCGGTCCCGCATTAGCGGACGTCCGCCACAGGCCCAGCATTAGCGCGATAGCGGTCTTGCATACTCTAGCATATTTTGACCCGACCCGACCCGACCCGTTTTGTAACCGACCCGGGTACGGGTCACAAATACCCGTTCCAACGAGGCGGGTCGGGTCACCAAAACAGAGTCAAACTCGACCCGCAGACCCGACCCGACCCGACCCGTTACTGTAACGGGTCGCCCTAGACGGGACTGGACGAGCCGGGTCGGGCCAGATGCCCATGCCTAGCTTGGCCGAGCAGGGGCGCAGGTCGGTGCAAACGACGCGCCCGGTGTACGTCGCCCGACCGAGCACCTCTCCCGCCGCCGAGACGAGCAACATCTCGTCGCCGTTCTCCTGCAGCTTCACACCGGTCTCCTTCAGCTGGCCGGCCGAAAGTAGGCTCGCTCGCATGCCCGGGACGTTGAGCACGTCGGGGATGAGCACCTGCTTCCCGGCCTTCCCTCGCAGAGCGACAGTGCCGCGGCCCTGGACGTCCTGCAGCGCACCGTTGAAGCCGCGCACGTGCTTGACGTAGCCACTCGGCTGCAGGTCGACGAAGACCTCCTTCGTCCCCATCAGGTGATGCGAGCAGCCGCTGTCGAAGACCTCCTTCGTCCTCTTCGCCCATCCGTATGTGCGATAGCTGCTCCTCAAGCTGGCCGATGTACAGGTCGTCGGTGACCTGGTACGTCGACTCGATGAAGTGCCACGCCCGGTGACCGGCGTCGAGGTACTCCCTGCACGACTTCAAGGCGATCTGCACGCCCGTCGAGCAGCACCACGAGATGACCGTGAAGGTCAGCAACTGTACGGCGTGAAACTCCGCTCGCAGGTCAGGGTAGTGCTCCTCCGGCGTCGCCACGGTGCCGCGGGCAAAGCTGGTCAGCCCGGCCATCTCCAGCTGGGGCTCGATGGCTTCCTTCCAGGTGAGGATGTCCGGTCAACCAACGAGCAGCGGGGTGACCGAAATCCTGTCCGGCGTGAACTTGAAGTAGCCGTAGCTCGGTGCTATCCAACGCGCAGTCACATGGGTCGCCGACATCGGCGTCATGCCGCTCCGACGTCCACCAACGTCGCCCTGCGAGGAGCCTGCAGTCGCCGACGACTGCATCCCTTGCGCCTGAACGCCGCCGACTTCATCAGCGTGAATCACTCCTCGCTGCCTCGACTTGCCTCCCGCACTGCTGCCGACTTGGTCACCACCGGCGTTGACGCCCACGTCGACGCCGCCCTCGGTGTTCACCGGTCGAGGAGAGGCAGGCTGAGAAGGGTGCTCCGTCGCCCACACGGTGCGGAGTCCAGCCTCGACGACCGCCCAGGGGATTGCTCCGTACTCCTGTGCCTTATGGCGTCTCCTCGTATCCTTTAGCTGTGCTTCTAGGGTGTCCACTACCCCCGTGTCACCTACGGCGCCTACCATAGTGACTACCGCACAGCTGCCGGCCTACAAACACGAATTAGGTAAGTGACAACTACGTCGACCTGACTGAAAGGTAAGTCGTGTGCCGTCCACGCTCACCGCACCATGCGGAGATAACTAATTCAACGGGAGCTAGACTACGGGGTAGGCATGGGGCTTGAGTGATCTCTGCGTTCGTTCCTTAGTCGTTTACTCGTGCTTGCACTACTTGCTTGTTCACAGGGAAATTTGGCAAGAGTTCCACTAGCAAAAGTTCACAACAATAGGTGACAACAACATTGGCATCACAGACTACATCTGAGCTAGCCTGGCTGCTGGTCGACCTCTAGCGCAGCATGGTCGACCGCACTCCAGCGCAGCAGCGCTCGCACCGCTCCAGCGTTGCAGAGTAGCGGTTCGCCAACGTTGCAAGTCCATGGTGTGCCAACGCTGCAGCAAGTCGGTTGCACAGCGTTGCACCCGCAGAACAACGGTGCACCTGCTTCGCAGGTGCGTACAGCTGGTTGGTGCTCCACACCTTGTCACGAGCACAGCGCAGACGCCCAGGTCGACTGCATGCCAGCGACTGCGCCCACCAGCCATGTCGACCTCAGGATACCATCCCCGAGGTCAGCCTCGCATAAGCCTCCCTGGCGACCTTCGCACATGTCGCCCGGGTATCCAGGTTGACTGTGCAACCACGCCTGGTCGCCCAGCTCAGTTGGTCGCCGGCTACACCTGACCGGCGTCCCTAGAAGAGGTGTCCCAGCACCCAGGTCGGCGTCCTGACGCCTAGGTCGGCGTCCAGGTGCTCAGGACACTGTGCAGCCCAGGTCGGCGTCCAGGTGCTCAGGACACTGTGCAGCCCAGGTCGGCGTCCAGGCACCCAGGGCGCCGTCCAGACCTCCCACATGTTTGCCTGCCCTTGTCCATCCATCCGCTTGTGCTCTCACATCTGGACACCCACTCCCATCACACAGTCGCACCCTGCACCCCCACATCCAAATCCGGTTGCGCTAAGGTGCTCCTTCTCTGTTCTTGCCACAAAACATGCCTCCCCACCCCTCTGCAGCGACCTCTCTCACAACTACCTCACAGGGCCCGCACTGGAGCCTCTTGCTGAGGGCACCTTGGATCTCTCCACCAACTTCCTCTCGGGCCCTCTTCCTGAAGGGGCATGCCAGCCTTTCTCTTTCGATGCCAACTGCTTCAAGCTGCCTCCTGGCTGTGACTTGGTGCTGCAGCGGCAGGAGGCAGCATGCAATGCCTTCTGTGGCGTCTCCTCTGCAGCTGCGTGTGGAGGGCATGGGGTGTGCTATCCAGAGGGGCTTATCTTGGCACCCACATGTCTATGTGTTGCGGGATATGCGCGGTTTGGAGAGATCAGCTGTGTTGCTCAAGGTAGGGGACTTACCATTTCAATAAGGCACTTCCACCTCACATGAACTCGAGCAGCTGGTTCGCTGGAAACTTGTTTGATCGACCTTGTTTGTTTTGAAAGCTTTGCCACATCTCATCCCACTCATACCTCCATAACCCACCCTTGTTCACGGCATTCCTGCAGACCGGAACATGAATTATTCACGCAGCCAATCGATTCTCCCGCCAGAAACTGTGCTCACCAAGGGGACGCAGCGAGAGACTCGGGGGAGCTTTACGGCAGCGCCAGTGATTCTGTTCGCATACGAAGCAGGGAAGGCGCGGCTGGGATGTGGGCTGGAGCTCGCCTTCCACGCCAACTTCACCTTCTCCCTCTCACCTCAATCTGGCCGCGTTGGCTTCAACGGCTTTGCCTTTGTCGTCTCGGCGACGAACCGGGTGGGGAGCGGCGCCGGTGTGGGGTATGGTGGAATGGACAAGCAAAGTGTGGCGGTGGAGTTTGACACTCGGCAAGACAAGCAGCACGGGGACATGAGCAGCCAGCATGTGGGGCTGAACATTCAAGGGAAGGACAGGTCAATCGCCGCTGTGAGGTCGCCCTTCCCTCTGAGCAACAGGAAGGCGTACACGGCGTGGGTGGACTATGAGCCAAGGGACCCCGGCACCATCCAGGTCTTCCTGGCTGACTCGCAGGAGAAGCCGTAGCAGGCGGTGCTGGAGAGGAGGCTGGCGCTGTGTGAGGTGCTGCAGGGTGCAGCCGAGCAGCCCGCCTTCTTCTTTGGCTTCGTGGCGTCCACCACTGTGAAGCCGTTTCAGCGGCACGTCATTCTTGAATCTGCAGTGGATACAGGTCTTCCTGCTTCTCCTCGACGAGTCACACGTATTCCAGGTAAGGGTACATCCTGGGCTCTGGTAAAAAAACAGTTTCCCGTGCTTGAATCTCACACTCACCTGCCGTAATCCCTCACGTAATCACTCACCTGGTGTCAAAGGATGCCACCATTGGGATTGACTGACAAGTTATTTCATCGCCTCTCCTTTGCTTGTTTTTACTCCTGCATCCTTCGTGCTCCATCTTCCTCTGTCTTTATTCTTCTTCTCCTTTTGGCGCCGGTGGAGGTTCTCCTTTTGCAAGTAACGTCCCGATTGCATGCTAGCGGTATACTCATTTCGGGAAGGGATTGTTAATAGAAATCAGTCGTGAATGATCATTCAGTGCCCATTGTGCCTCTTAAGTAGATGTGATATGACAATCAACCACCAGCCAATTGAGGTGCAAATGTGGTCAGCTCTGATCTGCAGTCCAGCTAACTGAAGGAGCTCTAGACATAATTGTTTCCATTGTTGGTCCCTGCTGTGACCATCCCTCTCCAGTTCTTTTTAAATACAGGTCATTTGTTTCATACCCCATTCATTTCTTCGTAACGCAAATTCTGAAAACATTCCAGCGTACGGCCTACGACTATCAACGGACACGTACCTGCCAGAGTGGGCCAGCCCCTTCCCACACTACGTGAGTGCGGACTACCGAGTGGCGCCCGACAAGCAAGACTCGTGGGTTGTCAGCGACTTCCACTCCTGGGACTCCGTGCCCTTCCTCGGCTGGCCTGTCAAGGACCAGAGTGACTGCAGTGAGTTGACTTGAAACGGGGAGCCCGGAAAAGAGTAGTCTAGAGACAAAAGCATCGCTGGTGTCAACCCACTGCTACAATCTGAATGCTCTCCTCCTACTGCTCTGCTGCTGATCACGTTCTCGTTTCAACCATGCTTGCTCGGCTCAATGTTTGTTTCCACCATCATCCAGCATTCGTCGAGTTTACTTTGATCATTCAGAGCTCTTCTCATCATACCCAGGTGCTTGTTGGGCGTTTGCGGTGGTGGCAAGCGTGGAAGCGGCATACGGCATTGCAATGAATGGAGAGGCGCCACAGCTGTCAGTGGAGTCACTCTTTGCAGCCATGGGGCTCACCTCCGAAGCTGACAAGTGCAGCACGGGGGGCTCTCCCACCGAGGCGTTGGAAAGGCTTGTCGCGCTGCCTCGTGGTGGAGTCACAGAGGCTGGTGCTCCTGTGAGTAGTGAGGTGGAATGGAAGTCAGATACGGGAAAGCCCTACATTAGAGAACCGAGAAATTCAAGAAGTGTGGCTGATGTTGAGAGCCTTGCAAGTGTACAATTGTTGATATGAGTACTCATCTCAGAATTCAGGATTCGGTTCTTTGGTTATAGTTCATGCGTTTTATATATCTTCCATCCTACATGTCTTGAAATTTCCGTTTACCAATCTTCAGAAAAAGGAGTACCCTGTGCACGGCTTTGAGCGCACGCAGTTCAAGGGGATTGTGGGGCTCATGCTGGCAGTGCAACGACAGCCAGTGGTGGTTCACATCGAGGCTTCTGCTCCAGATATTGCACAATATGATGGGGTGGGTGTTCCCTGCACTGACCTTGCATGGCATACGAGTTAAAGGTGTTACCTGTATTCAGCTGGATGCCTCATGAAAACCCCCTTCCATCCCTCCTCCATAATTTTCGTGATGTCCCGCTTTCTGTTCAGACCTTCAAGTACCAGGACCCCGAATGCTACACCGGCAGACTGAACCACGTTGTACTCGTTATTGGCTACTTCGTCTTGAGAAACGACGGCAGCCAAAACCGCATTGCACCTCCATTTTGGATCATCCGCAACTCATGGGGAGTGGAGTGGGGCGACAGGGGCCATATGCGTATGGACATCCAGGGAGGGGATGGCGTGTGCGGTATCAACGTGCTGCCCGGCATCTACCCTATTGTGAAGAGTGAGGCATCTACCTCAAAGTGTTGAGTGAGACAGCATACGCTGTGGCTCTCTCCAGATGTATATTGCTGCCTTTGAGTACTCACACATTCAAGTCAACTACCTTTCGGCCAGAGTGAAATTCACAAAGCATGCTTCAAGCCAGCGCCTACACTGTGGCATGTGGAGCGAAGGCATTGTCAACATAGGGGAGAGAGTGTGAGCCAGTAATGTCAACGTCTGTAGGTTGGCCTATCACCGACTCATGTTTGCCTAATTCTTGTCGTATTCAGTGAAACTCCTTCTGCACTGGTTTCTACTCCTCCTGTTCTCGTCTGTACCACCATCCAGTTCCCAAGGACCCGTGCGGCCAGAAGAGCTTCAAGGGAGATGGCGCACTGCAGCCAGCATAAACCCGTGTGGGCGGTTCACATGCCGGGCTAACCTCCGCAGCAACAGCAACTCGTGTAACTGCACCATTCCAAGTGAAACCATGCAGCCATTTGTTGAAGCTGCAAATGGATACGGCTCCCAAACATGCGCGCTTACTGTAAGTTCTTGAGGTTTTATCCATGGCCGTTGTCAGAAAAATGACCATAGTGAAATCAATTGCCGTTGTCAATACAATTGGCTCTTCCCTCCCTCCCTCCCTCCGCTCTGTTCTAAACCTGAAACAAATGGATCTCACTCTAGTTTCACCACTTGTCTTCACGCTTGTGTTTGTGTTTTTTGGCAGTGGACGTGTGTGGGGTAGACTTGAAGAACCCGTGCTACGTGGGTGCATGCATCAACGATGGAAAGGGCTCCTACTCCTGCATATGCCCTCCTAACTACGTTGAAAGCACAACAATTGACAGCTTCCCCACCTGCGACCCAGGTGCTGCTTCCTTGGCATTGTTATTGCTGTATTGTGTGTTGGGGTCGTCATGGCGAGCTGCTTCCACTGTCCGTCCTGTCGTGCACACAAGTGTAGATTTTTTTCATTTGTTAGAGCCCTTCCGATGGGTGTGTTTCCCCTCTTTCACTTTCACCCTTCTCCAGCAAACGTCACAGCCAGCATCCTAACAGTGCGTGGGAGCAACTGGTGGTGCTCCGATGTCCTCTCTATTGTGGGCCTCTCACTTTCCCAACTTATGCAGCAGAATGCGGTAAGCAGTACAGATGGAGAGGCAGGAAGAGTCGAGACACAGGCAAGGCTGGAGAAGGGGAAGCACGAATCGCAAGTTGCAAGTTACTAGGTTCTTGGCTAAATTAAATGGAAACAGTATCCCCACAGAATCATTAACCTGTCTATTTTCAAATTACCCAATGTTCAACATTGTCTGTGCACATCATTTCAGGCCGTTGACTGCAGTCGCCCTTTGCCTCGTAACGTGATGCTTCAGCTGGGGAGTTCTCTCCTCATTCCATGCACCACATTCTTCTACACCCTCAGTGTGAGCTTCAGCCCTTCTCGGTTTTCTCCTTTCTATGTAATACCATTAAATCACATTCCTCTATCTCTTTGTATCTCCACTCCACAGCAAGAATGTCTTAGCAACTCCAACAGCATTGCACATACTACAGCCACTCTCCTGTCACCTCATCTATTGTACCTTCTCTTCTGTTGTTCAACCCTCTACCGCTCTCTTCAGCACCCTTCCTGTGGTAATTAGATCCTGATGTGTCTCAGGAGTGTAAACTATTGGGGAGGCGGGTTACGGCTGACAGCCAGGTGTGGGTAACACCAACAAAGATTATTCGTTTGCTTAAACTTTACCTTTACATCCCTGTGGTCATTAGCCCCTTTCGTCGTTCCTCTCTTTCTGAATCCCCTCACTTCTGTTCTCCATCATATCAGCAATGCTGTCTTATAATCCCAACCAATTTTCAGCTGCTCACAGCCCATCCATGCTCAGTCACCCCAGCCGTGCTGCCTTCTCTCCTGTTGTTCAACCCTCCAGGGCGACACATGCTGGTCAGCACCCAGCTGGGCATCACCAGCAGCAACCTCACAGCTCTAAATCCCGCCCTTAACTGCTCTGAGCCCATCAAGGCGGGCCGCTCTCTGTGCATTGAGCGCAACAACACCTTTGCCTTCACCGTACCGCGGTGCTTGCAATACGGCATGCTCACAGTGCAGAACACCTGTGAGCGCCTGCTGCTGCAGGTGTCGGGGAGTGGGGACGATCCAGCAAGGTCTGGTAAGATGAATGCCATGCGCTGGGCTGAGCTGTACCGCAACAATCCCGGCCTCATCTGCTCCAACGTCATCCCAGCCTCCGCCTCTGCTGTTGGCAGCAACACTGGCGTGCAGGTAAGAGGTGGAGGGGAACCGGGATGGGAAGGATAGATGGAGGGAAAAGTGACTCAATGTAGGGAACCGGTGGACTCAATGTACATTTGATGAGTGAGGGGACAACAGGGTTATGTCTCATATGCCAAAGCGAGTGCTTTTTCACAACTGTTTGCCCCTTATCGTTCGTTGAGAATGTTCTCACTTGCACCTCTCTCTGCCCCTGAATACACGTTCCTCTCACTTGTTTTGTTTGTGAATATCGCCATTGCAGATTTGCCTACGAGCTGAGTACTGGCCATTCGTTGTTGGCATATGCAAGATGGGTAGGCAAAAACCAGTGTCACCATCATTGACATGCTCGGGTGCTTACAGCTTCTATGGTGGAGCTGCGAATGGAGCGATTTCAAAATATTATATGCACAATAAGAAGAAGTGTGTTGGGAGTGTAGGGTCCAAGTTTATTTGTGTGCCATAATTACTACCTCAGATTGTTATGAACCAGACCCTTGAATTCCAGCCTTTTTGCGCTAATTCAACGTAAAACGGGTTTCTTCTTTTTCCTTTGATCATTCAACAGCCATCCTCTACAAGCCTTGGTTTATATTTTATATGGAAGTCGTGCTCACCCAACTTGACGATGGATAGCTCTCCGTCATGACTCCTACCAGAAAGCATGGACAGCCTGCTACGTGAAAGATTCTATAACTTTGACAAAACTTGTAACCATCGTAATTCGGCGAACAATACGATATGTCTTGAGTGTTTAACAAGCAAACATGATGTTACCGTATCTTCTTCCATGGCTTAGCTGTTTGATCAACTAACAAAGCCCAATACGGAGTTCATCCACACTGCGTTCTGAGGGTTCATTGAAGCTACAATTTTTTAGTCAACCTCTAAGCACAACGGCAATGTTCCCTATGGCTCCCTAGAGAACTTTTCTCCAGAAGTCCCCAAGTGTCTTCCTCGGCAACGCAACATCTGCATCAAGGGATTTGATCGGCTGACAGCAACCTTGGAATTTATAACAGTGACGCGCCCAGTCCACTGGCACAACTGACATTCAAGGCCTTTTCTTTAACACTTCCGCCGGATCAGGATCATCATCGCACAATGCCTTCAAAAACCGCCAGGAACAACACTCGTATCGACACACTTCCTGGTGGTGTGAAAATCGTAGCTGATCCTATGGGAAGCTGACAGATGGAAAGTAGGAGGAGGTTAACACTCCGTTTCCTAATGCTCCTGCTAAAATTTGGGCCTCTCCGTCGAAGAGAAGCTTCAGGCCCTGAAAAACATGGATGACGAAGAGGAAGAGTTCATTGAAGATGATTTGGATGAGTAACTGGAGGTTGTTGTTACAAAGGAGAACTAACCCAGGCTTCGCTTACCACGATCTTGGTACTACCCCACATTCTGTCACAGGAAGTTGCATTTGTCAAATATAGTAGGAGTACGGCCTAGGCTTAGTAGCCTAGGCCACAGTAGGACTACGAAAGGAGGCGTCAAGTACGAGCTAGGATTGTGTGCAGGAACAGAATTGAGAAGGGGTGAATGAACTAGCAAGCAGCAGGATACAAATAGCAAACCCTAAGGGGCTGTACTCACTATTGAGTACCCCACTGCAGGCTACACAAACAACATATTCTGACACACCCCCATAGCCAAAGTGGGGTGAAATCAGCACAATGAGCAGGCATAGCAGAAGTTCACAATTATGAGCAAAGCTAGAGGCAGTCACAGGAGGCCAGTGAGGAGGAGGAGTGACAGTGAGGGGAGTGTAGATTGGAGGCGACGGCTGAAGCTGCAGACACACGGGCAACAGAAGCGGCTGGCACAGTGGCTACCGGAGCAAGGGCCCCGGACTACTGGAGTAACAGACTCCGCGGCTACGACGAGCGGCAGGAGTAACGGACCCACGGGCGACTGGCGCAGCAGGCTCGCTGGGCTACCGAGAGCAAGGGCTCCGGACTGCTGGCGCTGCTGGCGACACGACGGCGACCTCCGATCAACCTCCCCCAACTGCCCCACACCCCTGTCACACACCCCCTGCTGAAACCCTAGCTCCACTCCCACGGCACCCCCCATAAACCCTAAACCCTCGGCTCCCACACACCCACCCCCCCTCAGCGGCAGCTGCAGCAGTGGGAGACGGAGGAGGAGGAGGAGCTTCAGGTTACCCACACCGGTCACCCCCATGCTCGCCACCCCACACCCCCACCACCGCGGAACGCACGGCGGAATGGGAGCAATGGGCAGCACGGGGGGGGGGGGGGGGGGGGGGTGGACGAGACGGGCTGCAGGGACGGGCCGCGGGCTGCTGCAGGGGCGGCTCGCGCGGATCCTGGGGCGGCTGCTGCAGGCACGGGCTGCTCCAGGGGCGGCTGCTGCAGGTGCGGGCTGCTCCAGGGGCAGCTGCTGCAGGTGCGGGCTGCTCCAGGGGCGGCTGCTGCAGGCACGGGCTGCTCCAGGGGCGGCTGCTGCAGGTGCGGGCTGCTCCAGGGGCGGCTCCAGGGGCGGCCGCTGTAGGTGAAGGTAGGAGGAAGGGGGGGGGGGGGGAAGAGCGCGGCCCCCAGGGCGCCCCGACGGGCGACGAGAAAGGGAGCCGCGCGGCCCCCCAGGGCCGCCGCGACGGGCGACGGGAAGGGCGCCGCGCGGGCCCCCAGAGCCGCCGCGACGGGCGACGGGAAGGGCGCCGCGCGGGCCCCCCCGGAGCGCCACGACGGGCGACGGGAAGGGGAGGCCGCGCGGCCCCCGTGGTCGCCACGATTGGCGACGAGAGGGGACCGCGCGCGGGGCCCCTTGGTCGCCACGACGGACGACGGGAGGGGAGGCCACGTGGGCCCCCGTGGTCGCCACGACGGACGACGGGAGGGGAGGCCGCGCGGGCCCCCGTGGTCGCCACGACGGACGACGGGAGGGGAGGCCGCGCGGGCCCCCGTGGTCGCCACGACGGACGACGGGAGGGGAGGCCGCGCGGGCCCCCGAGGTCGCCACGACGGACGACGGGAGGGGACCGCGCGCGAGCCCCCGTGGTCGCCACGACGGGCGACGGGAGGGGAGGCCGCGCGGGCCCCCGGTAGCAGTAGAAACGACGGGCGCCACGACGGGTGCCACGGAGGGGTAAGCCGCCACGCGTCCCGAGCGCGCGGCGGGCATAAACCCTAATTTCGGCGCCGCGCACCACGGGGCGCGCGGCGGACAGTACGGCAGCGGAAGCGGGTGGTGGGCCCATACACAGGAAGGCGGCAGACATGCCGCCCTCTGATACCATGTCAAATATAGTAGGAGTACGGCCTAGGCTTAGTAGCCTAGGCCACAGTAGGACTACGAAAGGAGGCGCCAAGTACGAGCTAGGATTGTGTGCAGGAACAGAATTGAGAAGGGGTGAATGAACTAGCAAGCAGCAGGATACAAATGGCAAACCCTAAGGGGCTGTACTCACTATTGAGTACCCCACTGCAGGCTACACAAACAACATATTCTGACAGCATTTGTCATTAGAATAGTGTGAATGTCGATGAAGCGTATTTGGACCCAGTATCTTACTAATAGTGCTCACTCAGGAAAAAATTTAGGTGCTGCGACCGGCGTATATCGATAAAACACGGTACTGCTGGCTTCGGATTTCATTGCTGCAAGAAGATGATGCTGTTGACATCAGGCGGATGGCTTTTGATTACCAGCGACTGTATGGCACAGTGATCCTCGTGTACTCGCAGCACATGGAAGATCCTGCTCATACTCGAGAGAAGGCGACAAACCCGCGTGCTATCGAGTTCATCTTCAAAAACCTGGGCACAAGTTCGGTGGCACCAGGCGCGATTGCGAGATGCTGTGCAAAGCCTTTGCCCAAGCCACCGTCAATAACCTGACCGGGAGGATGGCGGGTCTTTGATGCATGGGCGGCACGAGGCTGTACGAGCTGGAATCGTGGCCCCCAAAGCTGGAAACTCGCGAGCGGCGCAGGCTCGTATGGCTTCTCGAAATTTGAACCCTGTTCAACGACTGTCTGCCCGGTGGGTTTAAACTCTTATTTAAAAACGTTTTGAACTAGCAGAGATGCCATTAAGGTGCGTTACTGTTGTTCTGTCTAAACGTTTCATTTAAGCATACACACATCCCCTGTTATGTCGCGCGCAGGCTTTGATTTGCGGGCAGCTGAGCTGGAGCTGAATACGTTCTGTCACATCCTGAAGAACCATCACGAGGAAGAAGACTTCCATCAAGGTCTCCAGAACATGTTGAAGACGCGGGACTGGCCTCGCACGTACCCTAACCTGGTGCTGATGTGGCAGGCATTGGCCGTGGTTCCGCTGAGCACCGTCGAGTGCGAACGTTGCTTCAGCAGGCAGAATGTCATCAATTGGACGTGGGCGCACGTGGGCAGAATGTCAGGCAGAACGTGGTTTCACTAGGGAAAGTTCCATTGAAGAATGGTTGGTACAATAATGGCAACATCAGAACCTAGCAACCTAACAGGGCAGCTGGTCGACCGCTAGCGCAGCATGGTCGATCGCATGCCAGCGTCGCGTAGAGGAGCGGCGCCAACGCTGCAGAAACGCAGCCTGCCAACAGAGCAGGTCAACAGCGTGCCAACGCTGCAGCAAGGTGGCTGTCCAGCATTACACCCGTACATGATTGCAGTGCACACACCCGCATGTGCGCGCAGACGATTTGCCTGACATCCACCGTCACGCAACTGTCGGCTGTTGTCTGCGCCTGACGAGCCACATCGACTTCGGGATATCAGCCCGAAGTCGCCTTCGCCATCGTAGCATCGATGACGTTCACGTGCCTCCGCCGAACCTCGCCGAGGTAACTTGGTCGACCGGGTCGACCACCCAGTGCCCTGGTCGACGACCTCCCTTGTCGACGACAGCTCCCGTCGAGGACCGCCCTGGTCAACAGACCCCTCCGTCGACCAACATGGTCGACTGTAGCCGTCGAGCTCTCGTCCTCGATAGCCGCTCGCAAGTCTCACGCAGGTCGACGGACTGCTCCGCCGTCCGCCCCTGTCGAACTAGGCCGCCGGCTCCCCTCGACGGCGACAT